CACAGCTTCAAAGTCGCCTGGAGACTGAATGTTTCCATAACTTTCTCCCAAGAAAAAGAAAACAGCGGAACGAGGGAAGAGGGGAAATGTCGGTGGTTTTGCACTGAGGCTCCTCCGGGTGCCCATGGGCAGAGAGGGGTGAGGTATGAGGATGTGCTGTGCTGGATTCTCCATCCTGGCCTCGATCTCAAAAGCTATGGAATAAAGAAATCCTCTGCATTTCTGGCCTGTGAAGGGAGCTGCAGGCACTGGTGCAGATAGGAACGGTGCAGCCGATCCAAACGGGATCGGAAGCAGCTCTGGCAGGGGAACAGCCTGGATATCCACACCTGTGGATGGAGCTGGGGGGAAAATGTCCCATTCTCATAAACAAGGAGACTCCACACCAGATCTGAGCACCTCCATGGCTCACACCCTGACACAGCTGGGGCTGCACGAGTGGCTGCCAATTCTCTGGCCCCTGGATTGAGAAGCTGTCCCTGGGGTGGGATGCAGGCTCACAGCCAGCCCAGCCCTGGAGACAGGCTGGGAGCCCAGGAAATTCCCCTTCCCAGGGTCCTGGCAGGCTCGGAGCAGAGGCTGCACAGAGCACCTTCAGCACTGGGAAGCTGCTGACTCAGTCTCCCCTTCCCTGTTGTGCCAAGGGAATGAGTGGAGAGGACAAATGGGAGCACACAGACCCCAGACTGGGCTGGGGGCTGCTGGCCCTGAGGCTGGGCAAGGACAGAGATGACCAGAGAGTGATGGCCAGAGCCCAATGTGGTCACGGTGTCGCCAGTGTGTGAGCTGTCACCAACACCTGTGCTCAGTGGTGCTGCCAGGGGGAGGGACTGGAGATGCTGGGGGGATCTGGAGAGACCCCCCAGGAGTGCCTGCACCAGGGAACAGCCCCAGGCTGGGCTCTGGGGGAGCAGCTTGTGAAGGAGCATCCAGGGCAGTGCAGGTCTGGCTGTGCCTGGCAGCAGAACTGGTCAGGAAGAGCTCCTGAGGGAAAGGTTTGTCCCCCCAGAGCCACATGGCACCACCACCAAGCCAGCCATGCCACTGCCTCCAGGCCATCCCATCTCTTTCCAGGCCCTGCTGACCTCCTGATGTGGGCAGGAGCAGCAGACAGAGCAGCACAATCTCTGCAGCCCTCCCAGATGTGTCCTGGCACAGAGCCCTCTCTCTGGGATGGTGCCTGGGGAGGGAGCTGTAACAGCATCACCACAGTGGGACCCTCCTGGCAGGACCCTCAGTGCCCCTGGAGGGTGGTGATGGTGATAAAGGGATGAGTTTGGCAGCTGTGGCTGTAGGCAGGTGACACCTGGACATTTCTGTGGTCCCCACACTGCAGGGATGCTGTGAGAAATCCTTGTCCCAGCTTCCTTGGGAGCCTCCAGCACTGGCACAGGGTGACAGAGGGGTGGGGAAGGTCAGTCCGGGCCACCCCAGCACCAGGGACCTTGCCTGATGTTGGGGGGCTGAGGCTGGAGAAATGATGGGGGCTGAGCAGCCCCTCCCGGGTGGGGACAGTCCCTGACCGTGTCCCAGGGTCCCTGGCCGTGCCTGGCTCTGGCTCCCAGCGGCAGCGGGGCTGGGAGGGAGAACTGGCGCTGAGCAGACGCTTGGAGATTGTTGGGAAACAAGGCAGGAGCTGGAGTTGTGTTTTTCCAGGCTGGGGGGGCGGTGTGGGCGGGGAATGTGCCGGGAAAAGGAAAAGGAGCCGTTCTGTCCCCCCGGCCGGGCCGTGCTGTGCCAGACGGCTGAGCGCGTCCCCTCCTGTCTAGGGACACTGTGGGACCTCGGGAAGGGATATGCGGGGGAGCAGGCCTGGGGATGTGTGCTGGGTCCTGGCACAGCTCCTCCCCTGCTCGCTGCATCCCCAGGGATGTCCTGTTCCTGATCTCCTGAGCACTGCCCGACAGCCCTGTCACACACGGGAGTGTCCTGACAGCCTGCTGGATCCAGGGGGGCTGGGCATCTCTGCCAGGTGCCAGGGTGGAAAGGACCCGTGAGCAGGGCCCAGGGGACACCCTGATCCCTGTGGGGTGGGGCACAGTGTGGGGGATGCCCCCAGAGTTTGCCCCACATCTGCCACAGAGATGTGCAGCACAACATGCTGTGGTGTGCCAGCCCTGCCAGCTGCCTGTCCCCCCGGGGGCTGGCATTGCCCTGTCCCGCCCCTGGGCACTGCCCAGCCCCTGGTGCTGCTGCCAGGGCTGCCCCCACCTCCCGGGCCTGGGGAGGCCCCTGCAGGGGCTCAGGTGCCAGCCAGGCCCCCACAGGGTCTGCAGTGCCCCCTGAAGCCCATCCCCTGTGGCAGCGCAGGCACCAGGGCTGGCTGCAGCTCCCCACAGGGACTGTGGCCACAGCAGCCCCCCCACATCCTCCTGGCAGCCCCCCTGCCCTGCTCTGTCCTGCAAACCCCACCATAGCCCCTCTCCTGCTGCCTGAAGAGGAGCTGCCTTCTGCACTGCAGCCCTCTCGTGTCCCCTGCCCTTCCCTCTGCACTGCAGCCCCCTCGTGTCCCCATCCCATCCACAGCCCTGCTGGAGCTGTGGGCCAGCCAGGGGGGCAGCCTGGTGGCATTGGTGCCCTGCAGCAGACATATGGCACTGCCAGAGTACAAAACAGCCAAAAAACCCTCTGGTGGCCTCTGAGCATGAGCTGAGATGCCCTGGGAAGTGCTGGGACCTGGGTGTGACATCAGTGTCACACAGACAGGCAAAGGGACACAGGGAGGTCCCATGGGTCTCAGGAGTGTCCCTCCAGTCTGTCACTCCAGTGCCACCGGCCTGAGCTGGCTCTTCCCACTGGCACCTCGGCAGGCAGGACATACCCAGGGATCCTTGGGGCAGCCCCAGAGGATGCTCAGGTGTGGCTGGGCCTGTCAGGGACTGTGGGGATGGACTGAGACAGCCCCAGGTCCCTGGCCATGCCCAGAGCCACCCCGCAGAGCCACTGAGGCTGCAGGGGATGGAGACAGCCCTGGCTGTGGGATGGGGCAGGAGCTGGGACACAGAGCTGGACAGCGCCAGCCCCATGTCGCTCCTTCCCATGCAGGCCAGCTCCTGCTGGCGCCTGGGTCCCAGCTGGGGCCCCTCCAGCCCTGCCACCACTGTCACACTGTCACAAGGAGAGGCAGGGACCTGCCTGCGAGCTCCACATCCCAACTCCTCCGCAGGGTGCAGCAGGGGAGCCAGGAGGAGCCCCCTGCCTCCCTGCCTGGGCCTCTGGGGCATTTTAACAAGGCTCTCTCCTCTTGCAGGGGTTCCTGGTGCTATCCCGGGAGGGGGAGTCCCCGGAGCAGGCTTTTTCCCAGGTAAGGGGGCCCAGCACCACTGGGAGGGGCCATCTGCAATGATGGGCATGTGCCTGGGGGGCCTTGAGTGCCTTTGAGACACCATGGGAGGCTGGGGAGCTGCCAGCCAGGATCAGGTGACATGGGGACATCTTGTCTGGCTGCTCACCATGGACTCAGCATCAGCCCCACGGTGTGGGGACATGACTGGGTGGCAGTGCCAGGCTTGCCCAGGGCTGGCACCTACACCCTGCCCAGGAGGTGCTCAGAGGTCACAGCCTGTCCCCAGACCTTCAGCCAAACTCCTGGGATGTGGGCAGGGGGATGTCCCACCCCTGACAGCTGTGTGACCCCCCCCACCTCTCCAGGGACCCTTGGGGACCTGGCTGGGTCTGGGGGCTCCCGGGGCAGTGCTCACACTCTGCCCTTGCTCGCAGGTGCTGGAGTTGGAGGTTTGGGAGCAGGTGAGTGCTGGTCCCCCCTGACAGGCTGGGCTGGGCTGGAGAGAGGGGCAGGATGCCCAGGAGATGGGCAGGGGGCTTCCCTGTGCCCTGTGTGCCCTGCCCGGGCACACTCAGTGGGAGGATGGCTTTGACCCCTCTCCCTGCCCTCGCTCTCCCCTAGGACTCGGGGCTGCAGGAAAACCTCCCAAACCAGGTAAGAAGCCTTTCCCTGGCTTTCACCACCTCCAGGCCAGTGGCTGGGACATTTCCCAACCACTGCTGCCCTCACACTGCTTCCCCATGGCCAAGGCACACCCAGCCCTGCCCTGCCACACTAATCCTGCCACAGCCTCCAGGAGCCTCCTCCCATACCCTGCTTCAGCACTGCCCCCTGCCCCCAGCCCCCCAAACACCCTCTGGGGGTGCTTGCTGCCTGTAAAGCTGTGCCAGAGCTGCGGGAGGAGATGCAAAGCAGGAGCCAGTGTCCTGGTGGGAAGCTGGCAGTGCCTCCACCTGCCTGCCATCAGGGCCAAACAGCTTTTGCAGAGGCTCCTGCAGCCCACGCTGGGCTTTGCCTGCCTTAGGAATTCTGGGGAGAGGGGACATCACCAGGAGAGAGGGGAGATGCTGGCAGTAAGATGTGCAGCTGGAGGCCACCGAGCCTGGGGCAGCAGGGACTGAACATGCANGGGCTGGCGTGCGGGGCTTGTTGGACAGAGAGGATTGAGAACCAGAGGAGAGGGCTCTCTCTCTGTGGGCAGTGCCAGAGTGGATGGGCACCAGGACAGCCACAGCCACCTGTCACCAAGGGCACAGCCCTCAGCAGCTCCACCTGCCCGTGCCCTGCAGCTCACAGACCCCAGCCTCGGGGTGGCCCCAGCTGTGCAGGCAGTGGGACCCCAGAGCCTGGAGCTGCCTGGGAAGTCGAGCTGCTCTTGGTGCCTAATCCTGCTCAGGGTGTTTGGTGGGATGTGCTCAGTCCCGGGCACTCTCCACCCCTGGCACTGAGAGAGATGTGGCTTGCTGGTCCAGGCTGGCTTTTTTCTGACCCTTCAAGCCATGGCCGGCTGGGACCATCTCTGGAGGAATTTGGACCCCGAGTGAGACCCTGCAGCAGCTCCTGAGCAGCTCGGGACTGTTGGCCCCACTCTGGTCCCTGACTCAGTCCCCAGGGGTGTTGCTGCTTTGGGAAGCAGCTCACAGAAGAGATGAGCTGACCCTGGGGATGGTCCCAGTGCTGGTGGGACACGGGAGGCTCTCCCATGGAGGACTGAGCAGTGCCAGCCCTTGGGGACAGAGCTGGCACAGAGGCATGGTGGCACGGTGGCATGGTGAGGGCGATACCAGGGTGCTGGGGACGGTCAGGGCTCTGTCCTCCAGCACTGGCTGCCAGTGCAGCTCCAAATCAGCCTGGCAGGAGAGGGAACCCTGAGACATCCCAGAGCTGAGGGATTCATACCCAGGCTGTCACCTCAGAGAAGTGCCAGGGGGCTGAGGTGGCAGCACTCAGGAAACCCCCAGCAGCAGATCAGGATCAGCCCCTGGGGATCTGCCCCTGGGGAGCAGAGCTGTGCTGGCACTGTGGGGATCTGCACACTGGTCACTGCAGGGGGAAGGTGCTGTGATTCCCTAAAGGTGCCAAGTGCAGCCTGTCCCAGCCTCTGGAGCAGGGCATCCATCCCTCAGTGCTTGCTGTGTGGAGCACAGGGGATTCCCCAGCAGTGACGCCCCCAAGGAGGGACAAGGGGGGCCCTGGGGCGCTCCCAGCCCTGCAAGCTCTGGGCCCACAGGGAGCAGCTCGGGTGGGTGCAGAGGGGCAGGCACCGGGTGTGGTGGCACCCGGCCTGGGGCTGTGGGGA